CAATAGAATTCCTAATTTAATTCATTTTATTTTTGTAATATTTAATTGTCATTAATAGAATTCTATAACACTAGTGAAATTATGGTCAAAATTTAACTTCTATAAAACCATAATTGGGATATACCAAGTGGTAGATATCGTAACAAGGTTTCCAAAAATATAAATAACACTAAAATCTAAGTTATAACGAAGAAGTTATGACCAATCGAAGATCCGCAGCAATACCGGTAAAACGCTGTTAAGCGTAAAATGCGAAATCCCAATAAAATACTTTTTAGCCTTAGGTATCTAAATGAAAGTCGTAGATATCATTAACCCGAGAACATACAAAAAAAGAACGCCAAAATTTGACTTCGTATGAGGAAGTTATGATTTTTTGAAGTTTCAGAATAACGGTAGACAGCTAAAAACTCGAAATAGAGATCGAGCAATTTTTAGCTAACACAACCTAAACGAGAATCGAATGTCTCATAAATAGTAGTGCAACGGTAAAAAGGCATACGAAAACGGACATCGGATGAAGAAGTTATGGATTTTTAACGGACTTTTCCAGTCCCGGCCTGTTAAAAATATATTATTAAAAATAAAGTTAAAACTAGCCGACAAAGTCTAAACAAAAGTTATAGTTTATATTCCCTCATACGCGTGGATATAAAGAACATCGAAAACGGAGCTTGTATGCGAAATATATGAATTTCTAAAGTTCGAGGCACGAATTTCGACGCTGTGTCAGAGTTCATGACGTGAACAGTCTGACTGACCATTCCAGAACAACTTGACTAATGACGCATGCCATGACGAATCGGGACCAAACTCACGACGTGAGTTAGGCAAAACTCACGACGTGAGCTTCGAAAATGAGCCTATATATAGAAATCGAAGCTTTTCGAGTTTGGCTGCTCATTCCTATCCTCTCTCCTACTTCTACTCTCTGTTAAGCCCCTCTAAAGCACCCCAAATCCCCGGTAACACTCCTGGAACATGATACGATTCCTGACGCCCCCGAGATTCCCGAGAAATCGACTTCTTTCTAGTCGAAGTGTTGCGCGAGTCAAGTCTCATCTTCTTTAAACCGCCACTTCTACCAGTTGAGTTCATACCCCTAAAAACACACTTTAAATACATTTTTAACTGCTTTTAAACACTTTTAGGGGGGAATACAAGTAAACACACGGCTAAAATCGTGTGAAACATCGATCTTTTGCTATACTTTTCATATTGTTGTTTTAACTATCTTATGAAGTTATTATCATGCAAAACACCTCATAAACACTTCTTTACCCTCTTGGGTTACAATGCATTTTATAAATAAGAAAATATGTTTTATTTATAAGTATACATTCATCATATTAAGGATAAAACTTTCATTGAAGAGATTTTCATAGTATTACTCGTGAACTTGTTGTTATCAATCATGTGATGTCATATGTCTTTGTTTGTACCAAACAAAAGTCTCCACCTATAACCAGAGTTTCTTGGAGGGAGAGTGTGACAAGTGTGTATAGATCTATACGGGGCTGACGACTCTACACCCTGACTGTTAGCTACAATCCTCGGGGTGACAAATGTCAACACTAGGTACTGCGTCTAGCATGGTTATGAGGAACTCACAACACATGGAAACAATGACTCATGCACGTAGTAATACATACTCAATCATGCTCGCCGAGGGGGGGGGGGGTAATAACTATGTAATAGGGAATTATCGGCATGTTCATAATTCAGGATAAATACTTCCACAACTAGTTTTACTTAATAATAAAACTATACATCATTCATTTAAGCATGTCACTGTTGCTTACAGGTTACGGTCTCAATCATTTGAGACTACATTTCATATTTAGGAAAATAAGAGTTTTTCATGTTTCAAATACATACGGTTTATACAACGATCTTTCATAACTCATTTATTAGTGAAAATATGAGATTTTCTGGATCTAATACGTTCATTTTCAGCATAATGAATCATAACTCTTTTCATTAGAAAATATCGGATTTTCTTGGAAAACATACACGAACTTTCGAATGGCATACACTTTCTCAAAACACTAATTATGAACTCATCAACTTAATTGTTGACCATTTTTCTTTGAAATAACTTGTATTCTCATGAAATCGCTAAGTCAGGTAGCAACTACTTTTGAAGACTAACGCTTTGGCGTTAGTATCATCTTTTGGAACATGATTTTGTATTTAACTTGGAATATGTAAATAGATACAATCACGTAAACTTTACAAAATATATTATATGGTGGTGTGTACTTTCTTTACTATGCAATTATTATGATATTGTACATAACGTCCTCCGCCCCCGAATGTTTCCGCCGTTCTGGTTTGGAGGTGTGACAAATTCCTAATTTAATTCATTTTATTTTGGGTGATGTTTAATTGTCATTAATAGAATTCCTAATTTAAAACGTAATATATGTTTTATAAAATTTGTGGACAAAATTAAAGGGTTGACAAAGATGATGTCAGTAAATAATCCAAAGATGGAAAATATATGATTGAAATGCAATCAATGGTCCTGATTTTTTTAGTTTAGAATTAAGGGTTATCTTTTAATAATATTTAGAGATAACATAAACACATACTTAAAATAGAAATTGAGAAAAATTTATTAGTAGTATTCTATATAACATAGGGTTTTATTTTAAATCTATAAAGAAGAAATAATTAGAAGTGGAATGAGATGCATCAAAAATTGCCAAAGCATGTGTTTTAAATCTTTTATATTGGTAAGATATCTCCAGAAAAGTCCCGATATTTTGGGCAAATTTTTAATAAAGTCCTAAAGTTTATTTTTTGAATAAAAAAGTCATGACATTTTCACATTTTGAATAGAAAAGCCCAAGAAACTGGCTAATTTATTCACTTTAGCCCTTTTTGACCTGTTCAGCAGATCATGAGACCAAATTGTTAATTTTTCGAAAATAACGGGACTTTTTTTGCAGATTTCGTCAAAATTTTTATATAATGTATAAACATATTTTTTTTACATATCTATATCAAATTTTACGTATTTGTGTATTTATTATGTTTTTATATGTATATATATATACGTATTTTTATGTATTTTAAATGTATAAACATATTTTTTTTTACTTATTTATATGTATTTTAAACAATTTTACATATTTTTTTTATGTATTTTTATGTGTAATTTTTTATGTATTATGTATTTATGTGTATTATGTATTTTTACGTATTTATGTATTTTTTTAAGCTTTTTATATAGATGTTTATGTATTTTAAATGTATAAACGTATTTTTTACGTATTTACATCTATTTTTTAGTATTTTACATATTTTTTATGTATTATGTATTTATGTATTCTTTTAAGTGTTTTATATAGATGTTTTTGTATATTTATGTATTTTAAATGTATAGACGTATTGTTTTATGTATTTATATGTATTTTTCTTTTAACTATTTTACATATTTTTTGTGTTTTTTTATGTATTATATATTTATATGTATTTTTGCGTATTTATGTATTCTTTTAGTTTTCTTATATAGATTTTTATGTATTTTTATGTATATTAAATGTTTAATTGAATTATTTTTACGTATTTTTATGTATATTAAATGTTTAATTGAATTATTTTTACGTGTTTATATATTTTTTAGGTAAAAATAATACACTTTAACATTTAATGTACATAAAAATACATAAACATCTATATAATAAAACTAAAAAAAATACATAAATATGCAAAAATATATAAAAATACATAATACATAAAAAACACATAAAAACACACAAAAAAAATTTACTTAATGTACTTAAAAAATACATATAAATACGTAAAACAATACGTTTATACATTTAAAACACATAAATATACAAAAACATCTATATAAAAAACTTTAAAAAAATATATAAATACATAATACATAAAAGATATTTAAAATACTTAAAAATAGATATAAATACGTAAAAAATACGCTTATACACTTAAAATACATAACCATTTATATAAAAAGCTTTAAAAAATACATAAATAAATAAAAATATATAAAAATACATATAAATACATAATATATAAAAAATAACACATAAAAATACATAAAAAATATGTAAAATGGTTAAAAATACATATAAATAAGTAAAAAAAATATGTTTATACATTTAAAATATATAAAAATACATAAATATGTACTTATAAAAATATAAAAAATACAAAAATACGTAAACATAAATATAGATATGTAAAAAATATGTTTATACATTATATAAAAATTTTGACGAAATCTACAAAAAAGTCTATTTATTTTCGAAAAATTAACAATTTGGTATAATGATCTGCTAAACAGGTTAAAATGGACTAAAGTGAATAAATTAGCTGGTTTTTTGAGCTTTTCTATTCAAAAGGTGAAAAAATCAGAATTTTTTATTCAAAAAATAAAATTTAAAACTTTATTAAAAATTTGACAAAATACCAGAACTTTTCTGGAGATATCCCTATCGGTGATCAAAAGAAATAAGATAACAACGTGATAAAGGAGGGGGCCATGGCCTCCTTAGGCATTTATAGCCTTCCGCCACTGGCTATAATTACATATTACATTTACATAGTCTAACAAGTAATGTTGTGAAAGTGAAGGAATTCGGCAATCTCACAGCAATCTCAGTATGTAGCCCAATATGAATTGAATTTATTTATTATTTATTTATTATTATTATTTTTTTTTTTTCCATTCTTTTAAATATTGGTAATTGACTAAGAAGTTTAAGATCAAGATTTGTTCAATAAGTAATTGCCCTTTACATTTATTTTTTATTTTTTTCCCATTCTTAAAAAATGTAATTTATTCAATAAGTAATTGCCCTTTACTAAAAATACGGGTAAATATTTATTACTCATATATATTGTTGATACACAAAATAAAAAGAATTATTACACAGATTTAATTGATATAAATACAAAAGGAAAGCATTTATTGCCTCATTCTATATAAACGAAACCTCAGCTAAATTAACTTTCACATTAACAAAATGGGTTCCTCTATACTCAAAACACAAACAATCATAATGGTTCTATCAGTGTTGTTCTTGATTGTGTGTACAGGTAAGTTTAAAGTTTCCTATATAGAAATTACGAAACTACTTTGATTTCAATGAATAATATATATAATGTACAAATTTCTCACATGGATGCTAACGTTTGCATGTTGTGTTTATAAAAGTGGCTGAAGAGGAGAACAGAAACGGTTTTTGTTATGACCCGCAACCTCAACCCAAATCAGATTGCGATGCACAAAAATGTTCTGATAAATGCGTATTTATGGGCTACATTAGAGGCCTCTGCAAACTCATTTATCCACCTACGCCTTATGCAGTTTGCGTTTGTGAAAAGCCTTGTACTTCTTCAGAAGTAAATGAGACCAATCTTTGATATTTGGTATCATGACATGTATGATACTGTTTTGTAATTGAATAAATGATAAACCATTTTCCTATTTGTTCACTGTTATCGGGAACTGCTAATGTTAGACTCCTTTCATGATGTTTACTCCTTACATGTTGTTTAAGGAATTTATAAGATTCTATAGCATGATTTAATATGTTTTGGTGAATTTGTAGCAATTCGTATCAATCAAACGCAAAGAAATAGTAAAATTGGGAATTGAATAAAAAATAATTTTAGGTGAAATCTTGGTAAAAATAAGTGTTGTTTGGTTTGCAAAATGTATCCAAAGGAATTAGAATATGTCACTAATTGTAATCCAATTTCATATTATGTTTGGTTAATGTAAAACTATAGAATTGTCATTTTTTTTTTTTTTTGCTTAAATTTACTTTATTTTATAACTTATGTAAAAATATATTTTATTATTATAAAAATAATATATGATGGTGGTGTTGTTGGTGGTGGGCTGTGGGGGTGTTGGTGGGTAGTCGATGTGGTGGTGGATTGTAGCATTGATGGAAACTTGGATAATTTTGAAATTATAAATAAGTTTTGTACTATTATTTCGTGTGGAAAGTAATTCAAAATTTTAGAATTGTAAGAGTTTTTGAAATTTTGTTGTGGACTTTTGATATGGACTGTAATTTCATATCCAATCCAGTCCACACTCCACACAACCTCAAAGATCAACTGCCTATATTCGTTTTTATATTGTTTTTTTATCATTGGAAATCTCTATTGATTCCTACAAGGCCGATAAAACTAGAGGAGTTGCAAACTCCTACGTCACTAACCAAATCATTGATGTAGACAATACTTTGACAAGTGTAAAGCTTTTTTAAGGCTAATGCTACAATGTCGGAAGTAGTGGACGGGGTAGAGACCGCAACTTCTGCGTCACCTAAGACGAAACAACGCATTCTGACCACGGTTTGGGTGCGGTAGAGACCGCACTACGGCACTTCAAGCGTGCACTCTTTCAAGATTTGTGATTGGTTCACTTTCCTTCAAATTTTGTGATTTGTTCTTTTTTTTTAAAAAAAAAATAATAATAAATAAATAATCCAAGTGTGGCACCATTCATTGGGTGTAGTATGAAACCATACTTTTGTGGTAAAGGGTGAGGTGACGTTTATGTGTCACTACGGTTTCACTTCTGATTTGATTTTTTTTGTCTTTTATTATTTTTTTTGTTTTATTTTTTATTTTATTTTTGTTTTTAATTCTTTTTTCTTTTTTATTATTATTATTATTATTATTATTATTATTATAAATTGCGATAACCATACAAAATTCGGACAACATTAAAAATTTTGACAACATTATAAAATTTGAACGGCTATGTAAAACGGAAAAAAAAAAAAAAGTTTGTCTTTATTTATCACATATATTAATTAATTCGGTATTACATTTGTGAGGTGCGTTATGCGGATTGAAAGCATTTAGTTAATCATTTGTATACCCATCTTGCCGAATATTCTGATTTGTATGTACGTAGAAGTCTGGACAAAACATCAGACATTGTATATGTTCCTTGTAATCAACTATTACATAATAGGTTAGGGTGAATTGTAATTTATCAATAGACGATAATGATATCAGTTTTGTAACACCGTAAAATTTAAAATAAATTTTCGCATTTTTAAACACATTTTTCCAAACACATTTATTAACAAAGTCTCATTGTATCATAACTTTGTTTCACAAAATATTTCCCAAGATCAAAATACATAAATCTCATGCGTGTGTACGAATCATGTCGGCGCCTTCGCGATCATCATTGGTACCTGAAACAATAACACATAATGTTGTAAGCATAAAGCTTAGTGAGTTCCCCAAAATACCATACATAACACATACTAGCCACTCGAGGCTATAACTCTGTGGGCCCGTGGGCCCTAACTCTGTGGACCCTCTGATCCTAGCTCTGTGAACCTTCCAGTTCTAACTCTGATATACTATGATATACACATGGCATAAATCACATAATAATAATGCAGTGCAACACATCACATAATAGCATACAGTAATTGTGTCACATGACTCTAATTACCACTCAAGGTAAAGTATAGTGAGAAGACTCACCTCAGATGTCTCGGTAAATCTCTGACTCGGTAGAAATACGATCTAGCCCCCACCTAATCATATAAAGTAATACTCTCATAAATATAACTCTCAGGACTAGACTCAACCCTCTCTAGGCACCCTCAGAAGGATAAAAGACCATTTTACCCCTCCTTTGGCTCAAAGGCCCTCATTGTTGACCAAACCCTAAAAGTCAACCAAAGTCAATCGGTCAACTTTGACCCGACTCATCGAGTGCACTTGGGCAACTCGGCGAGTCTACACGTGTCCACTAACTCCTTAGTCTCGCTTGGCATGTCAAGTCCCTCCCATTGCTCGACGAGTCACACTTGGCATGAATCGCGAGGCTACCCCGACTCAACTCGCCGAGTCTTAAGATCAACTCGGCGAGTTCCGTCTTGAACTCCAGTCCTCTAATCCTTCTCTGACTCACTGATTTATTCCTCCAACTCGGTGAGTCTACTCGCTGAGTGATTTTCGGGAAACCCTAACCCTACTTATCGAGTCTGATCTGTGGACTCGGCGAGTTCATGCCATACAAAAACTCCATTGATCTCCTGAGGTCAAATCTGTTCCTTAAATCCACAGATCTGACCTTCCCAAGCATGATAATCACGTAAAGTTCAGACCTTAACTCTCATATAACATCTAGATGGTCCTACTTGGTGATTTAGCCCCCAAAAATAAACTCCTAAGTTCATGGCTCCCAAAATAACCCATAAAGCTCCAAGGGTTAAGGTCCCTGGACCTCTTTGAGTCCAGATCTAAAGCATAAACTTGAGAAGGGACCAATTGCTCCACATATCCATTCTCTAAAGGGGGTTAGAAAACCCTAACTCTAAGAATCAACACCAAAACTGAAGAAGGTCTGAATAAATACCTCAAGATGAAGTCTCTGAACTCTGAAATCACTAGATCCACTCTTCCTTCAGCCTCCTCTTGCCTTGGTCACCTCCTTTTTTCAATCACACCAACAAAATGATCAAAAGTGGCCTCTCCTCCATCACAAACGCTCTAGATCTCTTAGGGTCTCTCTCTGGGGTTTGGTAGCCGCAAATGACGGTCCTAAGGGCCTTTTAATAGGTCCCAAACCCAGGAAATTAGGGTTTCATTAAACAGCGTGGACTCGCCGAGTCCACTCATGGACTCGCCGAGTCTGGTCATGAAACCGGATGAGAATCCGCGGCCCTACTCGGCAAGTCTGAGCACCAACTCACCGAGTCCCTCTACAAACTCCAAAATAAATGAATAAAATAATATACCCAGGAATCCGGATGTTACAATTCTCCTCCAATAGAATCAGACTTCGCCCTCGAAGTCTCACTCTACAAACAACTCTGTATGCTGCTCACGCATCTCGCGTTTCGGCTCCCAAGTCAGCTCTGACCCTTTCCTATGTTGCCACTGTACCTGCACCAGAGGAACTTCCTTGTTCCTCAGAACCTTGATCTTCCAATCTCTAATTGCCACCGGTCTCTCCACATAGTTCAGGCTCACATCCACCTGAATATCCTCTAATGGTACCACTGCCGACTCGTCGACTATACACTTTCTCAACTGCAACACGTGGAAAGTGTCATGAATCTGACCTAACTCCGTAGGTAGCTCCAAACAGTAGGCTACCCTGCCTACTCTCGCGATCACCCTGAAAGGTCCAATATATCGAGGCCCCAACTTGCCCCTCTTCCTGAATCGGATCACTCCTTTCCAAGGAGAGACCTTCAGGAGCACGAAGTCGCCGACCTGAAACTCGAGCTCGGACCGGCGCCTGTCCGCATAACTCTTCTGATGACTCTGAGCGGTCAACAACCTCTGTCTGACCTGTTGTATCTGCTCAGTCGTATGAAGCATGATCTATGTACTACCCATCACACGTTACCCTACCTCTCCCCAACAAATGGGGGTCCGACACCTCCTCTCATACAACAGCTCAAAGGGTGGCATACCAATGCTCGAATGATGGCTGTTGTTGTTGGAAAACTCTGCCAAGGGCAAGTATGTGTCCCAACTCCCACCATAATCCAACATACATGCTCGGAGCATGTCCTCGAGCGTCTGAATCGTCCGCTCGCTCTGCCCGTCAGTATGTGAGTGATATGCGGTACTAAAATGCAGCCTTGTACCCAACTCCTCATGAAATTTCTTCCAGAATCTGGAAGTGAAATGCACATACCCAACTCCTCATGAAATTTCTTCCAGAATCTGGAAGTGAAATGCACATCTCGATCTGAGACAATCGAGATTGGTACTCCATGCCGCGATACCACCTCTCTCACGTACAACTCTGCCAGCCTCTCCGCAGAAGAGCTCTCGCTAATAGCAAGGAAGTGAGCGCTTTTCGTCAACCTGTCTACAATCACCCAAATCGCATCGACGCCCCTCGCAGTCCTCGACAATTTGGTGATAAAATCCATAGAAATATGCTCCCACTTCCACTCAGGAACCTTTAACGGCTGCAACTTACCATGCGGTCTCTGGTGCTCGGCCTTAACCCTACGACAGGTTAGGCACCTCTCAACGAACCATGCGGTGTCCCTCTTCATACAGGGCCACCAATACTCCTTCTTCAGGTCCAAATACATCTTAGTGGCCCCGGGATGGATCGAGAACTTCGATCAATGTGCCTCTTCCATCAAAATGGTACGCGTCCCGCACACAAACGGTACCCAAATCCGACCCTGAAATGTCATAAGCCCCCGGCTATCGGTAATGAACTCCGATACCTGCCTGATAACTCGCTCCCTCTTTTGGTTTTCTGGTCTCATAGCCTCAGCCTGGGCCCCTCGAATGGTGTCCAACACCGGAGTCATTACTGTCAATCTCATGTAAACGTCCCGCATCGGGGCGCTTTCCGCCCTATGGCTCAAGGCATCGGCTACCACGTTAGCCTTACGCGGGTGGTACAGGATCTCGCAATCATAATCCTTTACCACGTCCAACCATCTCCTCTGCCGCATATTCAAGTTGGGCTGATCCATCAAGTACTTCATGCTCTTGTGATCCGTGTATATGGTACAC